CCTTCTGGTGATACAGAGAAGGCAAGATTTGGAGCTTTGTCAATTTAATTCCATAACCACAGTGCATCCATCAATTACGACCCATCTACCGATCTATTCAGATACCCGCCCCCCACCCCTACCCCCCGAGCTCAGCTGGGTCCTTGGAAAGGGATCAGTGCATTGGAAGGCATTGATTAAGCAGGGGAGGGGACCAGGGCCCCTGCCCTAGTTAGGGTCTGCCGCAGGAATAAAGTGCTAATTCCCCTGGGTTGTCTGCGAGGCACTGGTGCCCTCTGGGATGCTGGGGGCCTGGGAGAGTGGATCTGGAAGCAGGGACCTGCCCCCCACAGGCCATGTGCACACAGCAGGGCCCCCACTCCTGGGGGAGGGGCTGGAGGGCTGGCTGGTTCCCCAGGTCATCAGTACGGCTGTTTCTTCAGGAAGCGGGAGAACATGGCAAAGGCAGCCTCGGGCTTGTCGGTGGGGACCATGTGTCCAGCACCCTGAGGAGCAGAGAACGAGCACCCTGTGGAGGTTCTGACGCCCACCCACCACTCCCCTCTTGGCCCTCGACCATGGCTGCTGCCTTCAGCCCACCGGCTCCCTCTGGCCAGCGATCTAGTCCTCCACCCTTCCCACCCTGCACCCCCCCAAAACAAAACAAAATGAACAACCCTTACAGGAGCCAGGCAGTAGCCCAGCAGGGCAGAAGCTGGCAGGAAGGGTGGGGTGGGGGTGCCCCTACCTTGATGGTGAGGAATGCAATGTTGGTGGACTCCTTCACGAAGCCAGCAATCTGCTCCCCACTCTCCCCCAACTTCACCAGCCAAGGCCGTCGCTGCACCTCCATCTGCCCCGCCCCCAGGAAAGCTGTCAGCACCAGGGGCCTCTGAGCTGGCACTGCCCTCCACGCTTGCTCTTGGAGGGCTGTAGGCCAAACCACCAGCCCGTGGGACCCCGACCCCGGACCCAGGATCTCGCCTTACCTTCAGGTTCAAGGAGTCCACAAACCACTCATCCCCCATGAAGTTGCAAGCCATGTCCACGTCGCCATTGTACACCAGGATCCGGTACTTCTGCAGCAGGGCGGGGTGGGGTTGCCAGAATAAGCCAGGCCCCACACCTTGCCCAGGGAGAAGACCTTCCCCTCTGGGGACTCCAGGGACCAGCTGAACAGAATGGACAGGCCACTCTCAAGGGTCCTGGCTGCTCTCAGGACATTTCTGACATGCTACTACATGATTTACCCATAGTTGGCATTTGGAACTCATTTTGTGGTCTAATGACAGTTCACGTTTGTAATGTGCACGCAAGCAGTCCTGGCAGGTGGCCTAGTGGCTACACAATGGGCTGATACGTCTCAGAGATGCATGGGGCAGTCGGTTCTACCCTGTCCTACAGGGCACTCACTGAGTGGGCACCAACTCAATTGGGGAGAACATGCATGCATAGTTAGTGTTCGGCAGAGAATAAACACCAAGCTTTGTTCCCTGAAAATTCACAGCACGTACAAAGCTACCCACAGAAGTCTGGCATGGAGGAAGTGCTCGTCAAAGACATGGTAGCTAAGGCAGGGTGGAAAGGTAGAGAGAGAGACGAGGGCAGGGTTTCTGGGAGGGGCTCCATCTCAGACTGACCTGGGGACTGGCAGCGGCGGGCAGGGAGGATGGCAGCGTGCCCACTCCACACTTCTCTCTGCAGGTTTCGAATCTACTCGAACCAGTCAGCAATTGAGTCGCTGGCAGTGAGTAGGGGGTGGTGGGGTGGCCAGGGTTGGGGTCAGGGTCAGTGGTGGGCAGCTGCTCTGATGTCACC